CATTTTGTCTCCATATTTCAGAACTCATTACGTTTTTCTGTATTAGAGAGATTAGATTAGCCCTTTTCTGGGGTATGAGTTGAAAATATTTTCTTCCTGTGTGCTATTTGCTTTAACTGTTTTTTTTTACTAGTTTTTATTTTTATGGCATTAAAATGATCAGTCTTTTGTGGCTTCTGTATTTTGAGGCATGATTTGAATGGTCACTACAATTCTTTAAGATTATTAAGTCCTCCCACATCATCTAGTTTTAGTTTTATTGCTAACATTTAAATGTTTAATTCATTTGGAATTTATCCTGATGTAAGGTGTGTGATATGGATCCAAGTTTAATTTTTAGATGGATACCCAGTTGTCCCAATGTCATTTATTGTTCATTTTAACTCCACTGACCTGAGGTGCCAGCTTTATAAGATACTAAATTTCTGTATGTACTTGGGATTCTGGACTTTTTCTATTCTGTTCCTTTAGTTGTTTTTGTGCTGGTATTAAGTTATTGAGGCTTTATAATTTAGTGGGCCTAATCTCATTGCTTTTCCTCACAGCTTTTCTATTTTTATTTTTCCAAAGGAATGGTGGTACCATACTCTTTTTACAGTGGATTTATAGTATCTTAAAAAATTTGGTTTCTCTTCTTTTGTGTGTTTTCTACTTTGTTTCTGCTCTTAAGTATTTCCTGTTACTTATTTTGGGTTTAGTTTGCTCCTTTTCCCTAGTTTTTAAAAAAACTTAATTTTTCTCCAACGTAAATGTAAATATTTGTATTTCCCTCTAAGCACTTATGTATCCCAGTAAGTTTTGACTTTTTAAAAATTTTTTATTGTAATTCAGGTAAAAAATATTTTCTAAATTCCATGTGATTTCGACTCATAAATTATTCAAAATTATATTCCATTGTGTATTTGTGTCAGTGAGGGTTTCCCGAAGAGATTAGCATTTGTATTGGTGAACTGAGTAATTCCCATGTGGGTGGGCATCATCCAAACTGCGGAGGGCCTGAATAGAAGCAAAAGGCAGAGGGAAATTGAATTCACTATCTGCCTGACTGCTATAGCTGGGGTATCCACCTTCTGTCCTCGGTGCTCCTGGTTCTCAGGCCTTCAGACTTGGCCTTGGCTGCAATCTACATATCTGCTCTCTGGCTCTCAGGGCTTTGGAAGACCCTACTGGCTTTTTTGGGTCTCCAGCTTGCACTCAGCAGATCATGGCACTTCTTAGTCACCAAAATCACATGAACCAATGCCTTATACTAAATTCCTATGTACGTATATTTCATCTTCTACTATCTATCTATCTATCTATCTATCTATCTATCTATCTATCTATCTATCATCTATCTATCTATCTATCATCTATCTATCTATCTATCTATCTATCTATCTATCTATCTATCTATCTATATCTATCTATCATCTATCTATCTACCTGAAATCTGTCTATGTAAGAAATGTCCAAACCTGCAGATAATTTTTGAGTTTATTTGAGCCAAGCTGACAACATATGTTGGGAAGCAAGATCCCAAATATTCCCCAGTGTCCCTTCTTCTTCTCTTTTAAAAAATTCTTAACTATATTGTCATAAACTGTGTGAGCTCTTTCTGGAAACATTATCTTTGAAGTTTTTACCCTCTCCACCCCTCTGAGGTTATTTTGAGCCAGATTTACAATGAATAAACTCCAAGTTTTTCACAACATGACTGGACACTAGACTTAAACCTGGTTTCAATGAGTCTGAATCAAATTTAGACAATTATAAATTAATTCTATTAGTATTATTACTTGAGCACCTAATACAAGAACTTTCCTCAAATGTTTTCTAGATTACTTTTCAGAATACAGGCTGTGAGGAAAAAAGTATTCTACTACTATATATGAACATTCTTACTGCAAAGCAGCTGTCATCGGTAAACTCTGAAACTATAAACGCCATTTCTTGTCTAACACTACTGGGTCATCTGAGAAATATTAAGAATCAGATAGAGTTGATAACTTAGGTCTGGGCAGGCCAAATCGTTTAACAGCTATCAAGAACATACATGAAAAATTCAGCTGTAAACTAGGCATAACCTACCCACTGAAAACAGCCGGGACCGGCAAGGTCTGGGAAGTTTGAAAAGGAAGTGAGAAGTTGGTCTGTGTCCTTAGCAAAATGGACTTTAATGACTAGGTTTGTTTATTTTGACTCGATGATGTCCAGGATTCTCTGGTCCTATGTTAGCTATATTATCAGTCTTTAGGGTCTGTCATTTGTTTTAGAAAATTGAGGTAAAATTCACATAACATAAAATTAACCATTTCAAAGCGAACAATTTAGTGGCATCTAGTACATTCACAATGTTGTGCAACCACTGCCTCTATCGAGCTCCATAACATTTCCAAAATAAAACCCCGTGAAGCAGTTCCCCTTCATTTCCTCCTCCCCTCCAGTCCCTGGCAACCACTAATCTCGTCTTGTCTTTATGAATTTACCTATTCTAAAGATTTCACATAAATAGAATCCTACAATATGGGACCTTTTGTGTCTGGTTTCTTTCACTTGGCATAATGTTTTTGAGGTTCATCCACACTGTAGCTCTATTCCCTTTTTGGACAGTTAGCTTCTCTCATTTGTAGTAAGGGGCAATAAAAGTACTTTCATCCTTGGATGAATATTTAAGACAATGGGTTGTTCCTAGTGCTGGGTGTGGGCTCAAAATGGGAGTCAAAGTAACAAAGGGTGAAATTCTAGAGGAAAGAAATTAGAATTTCTCATTTAGTCTGATACATCAGTCTCCTTTTCCGATTTTGCTTCAATCCTTAGAGGACTGTGGGTTGTTTTGGATATGGGGAAGGGTTTAGCGCAGTGTCTGGCATATACAAAGTACACCATAAATGCTGTCAAAATGCATTACTATAGTCAATTGTTATTTTGATTTCCTTCTTAGAATCCAAGACTTCTAGGAGACACATCAGAGGATAGTGGTCAAGTGTGGGGGCACTAGACCAGTCACCTGGATTCAAATCTCAGCTCCATCATTTACTAGCCAGGTGACCTTCAGCAGAGCACTTGACTTCTCTGTGCTTCAGGTGAAACTTTATAGAACAATTAAGAGGATTATAGGACTATGGGAAAGCACTGAACACTGCCTAGAACACACTGAGTGATTAACAGATGTTAGCCATTACGATTTGAATGGGTCATGTGGCTTCAAAATCTATTGTTTTGAAACTCTGCAAATTTCCTGTAGCAAGGGTCACCCTGGTTTTTATATAACATGAAATATAGCACTTTATAGCATCTAAACATGTGAAGGCACCACTCTGAACACAGAGAATTTGATAATTATTAAAATCTCAGAGTTCTTTTGTCATCTTTTGTTTTTCTGAGTCTTTCCTCCCCTTTAAGAGTATCAGGGAGAAAATAATGAATAAATAAAAGGATGCTCTTGAGGGCATACACATTATCTTGTGTATATGGAAATAGAATATTTAAAAAGCTCTTTTAAAATATGAGGCATCATCACCACCTATGTTGATGGTAGGTGGTTAGGTTATAGGAAGGCTGGTTTTAGGTTTGGGGGAACTATTTTCTTTTGCAGTCTTTCTGCCTGATTGAGCCACCATGCACATGGGATCCTCCTGCAGAGAATCTGTGCATGATGGGGAGAAGGTTATCTGTGTTGGAAACCAACCCCTGGAATGCTCAAACACAATGTGTATATTTCCTATTTCCAATCTACAGGGGAAAAAAAGGTGACGTGTTAACACTGTAAATCAGTACACATTCTTCTCAAGGCCGATCTTATACTTAGTTGCTTCTGTGGACTGATGCTTCTACATCCAAAATCTCTCTTCCCCAGCCTAACATTTTAAATTTTATTGTGGTACCTGCGGTTGTGGTCACTAGAGAGTCACTTGGATCCCCAGGTGAGGTCTGTGAAATGGAAATTTTAGCAGGGGAATGAGTGAGAGGGAATGCTAAGCTGTCTGGTGGAGGGCAGACCTGGGGGAACGCGGCAGCGCCAGGAACAGGAAGGTTCTGGCCCCCTAGAGGTGGGCGAAAGGAGGTACTAGGAAACAGGTGAAGAACACAGGAAAGGTGAGGAGCTGTCAAGAGATTTCCTTTCCAATGAGATGTTTATCTCAGACCCATCCTTATGTATGTAAAGGAAGCAAGATATCAAATGAATGGTACAAAATCAAGTCACTAGGATAAAACTTCTAATTTCATTCTCTAATCTACCAGTCTTTATCTTTTTGAATATGTGTGCTCTCATGTTGAAGATTTGAATAACGTTGGGAAAATTGTTGCAAGCCCATTGCAAAAGGGAAGACCTTAACATTTTCTTTAAAAAGCATGAAACAATGAATGCGTATGAATACAATAAACATATCTCAAAAAAGAATGATACAACTTTTATTTTCCATGGATTTTAAAGATACTTTTGCTACATAGTTTATGTATTTTTATGAGATTATATTTTTTCATTTGTATGAAGTTCAACCTTATACAATTTTAAGGTGATATGTTTGGTAGTGTATCTATAATCTTTAAAAAGTTTAGAGTTTTTGGAATGTACAGTATATGAGGTAAAATTAAGATTACATTAAAAATTGTTTTCTCCTCTGCACTAATTTTGCAGTGAGGTTCAAATGGCAAGGACACTATTAAATGACATTTACTATCAAAAATAGGAGTTCATTTGAATCACTATGAAAAACATAAGCCACCGTAACTGCTACAGTGGCACATTTTATCATTTTAGACATTCAACTATATAGAAATCTCTGGGCTATTACACTCAAACTCATTTGTACTGCCAAATGTGGCACTTTTAAGAAGTTTCTAGAAAACAATCGCAATCATTTGTTTTTGGGGAAAGTTATCAGCCTATACATAAGAGATTAAATTTAAATAAAATGTAAACATACAGTATATTATAGTGACAGATCATTCTTACCACTTGGAAAGGCCAAGTTTATCCATTTCTTTTTTGAACAAAAGTTAATGTTTTTTTCTACAGCACGGATCATTTGACACAAAACAATTACAACACATGCCCATACTAATATAAGAGAAATTCTTTAGAGATCTTCAAAGCACAAAACATATGTCCTTTATCAAAGACTGACAGAAGTGCTTAGTAACCACTAAACTGCTAACCTCAGCAACTAAAAATTAGTGATTCGCTATCCTGAAATTCAAATAATAAATTAAAAAGGCTAGTTACAAGTGTTTTACAGATAACAGATGTGATAAAACAAGAATTTTGGATAGTTTCATTACAAAATGTATTATTACTGGCAGTCATTGACATCTATGCAAGATGTACAATGTGACATTTGACGAAATACAATCTGATCATCCAATAACTCACAAATGCAAGCTCACAAAACATTAATGAATTATGTAATTGCAAAGTGCTCTAATGCAACATTAACCACATGCAATCAACAATTTTGAAGTATCCAAACAGACATTACATTAAACATTAGTTTTTCAAGATAGAAAGCAGCTTGAAGTTTACTGGTGCAAATTAATTTTGTCTTTGAATTTGGTGTCCCAAACAAAAAGGTTAGGTTTGATTATGAATTCTGATGGTGATGGCAGTACTTACGGGAGAAGCAGCAAAACTTATGGGAGGTTCTTCAAAATTAGCGTATACCAGATGGATGGAGCAAGTGTGTGTGTGTGTGTGCCTGTCTGTCTATATATATTTCTATACTTGGTATGTATAGTTTATATATATGTATGCCACACATGTATGTGCATGTTTTTATACACATACATATAGTTCAAAGGTTCACAAAACCAAATTATATATGTATGAAATTCAGAGTTATGATTACTTTAAAAAAGTAACTATCAAAAAGCCCTCTGTTCTTTTCCACGTTCTCAAGACCTGAAGATGTGCCTTTTGAGTAAACATTAAAATATTTAGGCCAAGTAAACTGTCTGTGCTTTCTTTGAGTGGCTTATTTGTGAATTCATGAATATGTAGTTGTAATGAAGAACTCCACATTTATCCAACAAGAAAGTTTTTTTTATGCATATTCTTTCATCCAGTTTTTGTTTGCTTAAGCCCCTCCAGTTATTCATCATAATCTCACTTACCAAATAATTAAGACAAATGAGGAGGTAGAAATACAGCACTAGATTGCTTTCACAGCATCAGACTTTAACATTTTTATAAAGCATGTTAGTGTAAATTTTAATCATTCTGAATCATTCACTAGGTAAAATCTTTAAAACAAACAGATCAGGTTGTCACTGTTACACTCATGCTGACTGGTCAAAATATCAATTATATATTGTTACCTCTTAGAAAGTTTGTTTGACAAGAAGGCATGTCAAAAAGAGAGAGAGAGATAGAGATGAGAGAGAGAGAGAGATATGAGAGAGAGAAAGAGAGAGAGAGAGAGAGAGAGAGAGAGAAGGAAAAAAAAGAAAAAGCCCTAACCAAACAAAACCCCCAAAATTGCTATTTCTGTGGCTTGCATTCTAATAAGGTGCCAGCCTCTACCTAACAATATAAGCACTGAAAATGGCAAAAATGATGTACTATAGTCTCAATGCCAGTGCTAAATGCCACTGTTTTTGTAAAAGCAATACAGAAATAATTTTAGTACATGACAAAATAAAATGTAATACAGTATTAAAAATAAAGTTATATTTTCACTTGATTACAAAGTACTGAATAATAAAGGCAATTAAGATGGAAAAGAAAGCAAACAGCACAAGGATGACGGCTGCACACTGCTCGTCACTCAGCGCCCGCCGGGTCCTCACGCTTTCCACAGTGTCTTTGTGGGCGCTGGCCGCTGGCTCAGTCCTCTGAGAGATGAAGAGCACAGTTGTGCTGTAGGGACCGACCAGGTCCTGATGCCCCACAGGGTCTTGGCACTGGCGAATGGCACACACGCGGAAACGATATTCACAGTTCAGCTGAAGGCTTGAATACCGTAACGAAGAGTCGGGACCTTTGTAAATCTGTTAAAAAAAATTATATGTGGAGGCTGGGCAGAAAATCTGTATTAAAATTGGCTAGTTTTAGAATTATTTTTTGACTTGGAAGTTAGTGGGTGCCACTGCTTTTATCTTTTAAGTGGCATTTAAAAATACCTATCCATTAAAGGACTTATCTGTGTGCTGTGTAAGGGCAGGGGAAATTTGAAAAGTGAGGATGTGAGTTCTACCCTCATAGAACTTATGGATCGGTTAAGTAGCTACAGAACAAATACCATCAGCCCACAGGCATTTCCCCGGTTTCCTCAAATGCAAGAAGCCAAACTTTTGTGAAATCATTCCATGAGGCGAGTAAGGGTGTCTAATCTTGCTGCCCCGTTACATCTTTTCAAACATACTGTTGAATGAAACAATTAACAAATAGAGGAGCTTTCTATAGGTGTCTATAGCAAACCATTTTATAAACTTTAAAGAGAGACCACTTAGAATCACAGAACTGGATCTTAAAACCCAACTCCTCTACCTATCCCTGAGAAGGGAGATAACAAGAATGGAACTCCATGGATTTTCAAGAGTGTGCTAGTGACTGAGAGAATATGTATTGGAATCAGTCACCCCTACGTCCAAGCCCTACTCTACCACTCTACGCTCCACATGATTAGAATTACCTCAGTGTAACAAACATAAGAGTAGTTACCTTGTATGGGAATTATGAGAATGAAATAAACTAAGACTTGTAAAGGCCTTAGCACAGCCCAGCATATAGTGAGCACTCAAAATACGAAGCTATCATTTCCAGCGATGTGTCCCTCCCTGATTCTGTACCCAGAAAACCAAGGCTCACAGTGACTTCCCCGCTGAGCTCTCCCAGCTGGTGGGTGGGCTATGAGTTAGATTAACCAGGACCTGGGCTGGCATTCCTTCAAGTCGTTTTGGCTACCTCAACTGCATCTGTGTTGTAAACCTACATTTTTATTGGATTGTCGGAAAAGTCATGATGTATTTTTACTATGTTTTTCGTTGCAAAAATGTGTCATGACTTTTCCGACAACCCAATACATACTGGTTTGCTTCCAAAGGAGCAAGGTAAGGTCTCTGTCTCATTTTTGTGTCTCTAGGATCCAGCATGTAATAGGTACGTAATAAAAGGCAACTAAATTTGTGAATTACTATTTTTACTTCAAAATGTGTATCAGTGAATGCTTAGAAGATACACAAAGAAACTTTTATTGAAGTAAACGTTAAGATAAGTCTTAAAGAAAATAGTGAATACGCATTAGTCCTGAGGATGCAATGAGCATTTCAGAAAGTGGGGCTGTAAAAATGGTTCATGTCTGGGAGATGGTGAAAGGATTAACTTAAGTAAATCAGAAAGCTGTATTAGAGTGCAGTGTGAAACTGCACATATACAACAAGGCCAATTTAGTAAAAGTAAAAAATATGTATTTGTTTTATGGATATAATGGCTGATATTTATTTTTGTTTTTAAATTTTTCTTTACTTTCCATTTGTCTCCAAATGAGCACGGTAATATGGTTAGGAGTAAAAAACTCAACAAATGACATGAGGGCCATAGGTGAAGAGATCTGACAAAGAGGAATATGTTAATACACTAGTTGGAAATTTAGGTTTAATTCCACAGGGGCCATTTTAGGAGTGTGATATTTAAAAAGTGATCAAGGAATCCTGATCATAAGGCTGAGTGAGGGATTGAGGGAGTTGGGCAGGACAGGGCTGCTTCCTGTATAAAAGCACAAGGTTATGAGGCTTTGGTATTGTTTTTATGGGTCATTTATAGAAATGACTTTTATTTGAATAAGAGTTAACAGCTCCTCTCTCCCCCCTCCATTCTTCTGAAAGTTTAAAGCTCGGGACTAAGATGATGTTAGTGTTCATGACACTGAAGAAATAAGGGAGAAGTTGGAGAGGAGAGATTGGGAGGGAAGATGATAAGATGGTTTTCAATTTTGTGTTTTAGATATTGGGAGGGTATCTAAACAGGGAGACATCTTATAGGGAACTGGAGATACCGCAAGGAAGAAAACAGATGAACTTGCTAAAGCTCATTTAAAAAGTTTCTATATTTAAGTGAAGCAATTCAAAATAATCCTCAAGCTTGAGATGAGCTAGGGTAGGTCTTAGAAAAAGAGATAAGAATTAAAATGAATAACACCATTTACGCCCCCCACCCTTTTCATATTAACAAGGTAAAATTGTAGTGACTTTAATAAATACAAAAGGGCAAGGAAAAGCTCTAATAAATTCATAATTTTTTGGCCTGTAGCTTTTGCTCACAGATACTATTACATATAATTAAAACAAAAATAAAACAGCCCCTTATATTTGCTTTCAATCAACTATCCATTTATATGCAGAGTGTAGCAAATATCAATTAATGCAGATTTACAGTTAAGAGAATGGCGGGTAAGATTACTGTTTTCACTTTGCATTGTAATTGAGAAATGCAAACTACATTTAAGCTTGTGAAGTTTCGGCATGCCTAGCTGGCCAAGAACTTTGAAAAAGTATATTAACTGCAACAGAATTTATAGGAAAACCTTTAATTTACCAAGTATTTCTACTAAAATAGTTCTTGTTCTTATCTTTTAAGGACAAGTGTACATGTTTACTATCAAAGACAAGCACTTTTGAAGCTGTCAATATAGAGGAACAAATTCTGTTTAACTATTTGTACTTTCTGTGCACATTACATATCCACAATCTGATTTTACAATGAGTAATATGCACAGTATAGATTACTGTAGAAGTTAGTATAAGACAATGATTTCAGCAATACATTATTTTTAGACTGAGTGCAGACTTATTTAAACCTTTCCTTAATATTATGCATTAGATTACATTTAAAAGTAATTATTTATTATTACATATAATAAGGCATATACTCATATAATTTGGCACATATGGTCACACAATGTGATCTTTCTGTAATTTATGAATATACTATTGCAAATAATTATTTTGTAGTGATAAATACATGAAGAGAACAGTAAAAACCCTAACAACTGATTGTAGACAAATAACCACATAGCTTTTGTCTCTACCATTAATTCCCCTCTATTATTGCTGACAGAGTTGCAAGTGAACTTGGAGCTTTCAGAGCAGTTTTAAATTTATTGTGCACAAGCACCACTTGGAATTAAAACAGAAACAAAATAGAATTGTGGGTCACACTCCCGGACATTCAGGTTCACTGGGTCTGCAGGCTACTCTGAGGAGCGCTGTCTTTGAGAATCTAAGTTCAAAAGGGAAGAAGTTGTATAGAACCCAACAGGCCATTGTCCCAGCACCCATTCTTGACACTGCCGACAGTATGCTGATTTTGAATGGGGTGTCAAACTCTCCCTTACCCAGCCCATATGCTAGGAGAAACTGGCCTGCCCCTTAGCTCCAGAGGTGGGCCCTGGTTGGCTTAAGCCCTGCCCCAGTCAATGGTTCAGGGATGGCTTCATAATCCAAAGCATTTGTGTAAATTCCGGTAAGTTCCCCCTGACTAATGGCAGCATTGAAGACTGAGAGAAACCATGTCCTTGAGGACGACACTGAGCTCCTGCATCAGCCAGTCCTGAAATCTGACTACCTTCAGGCTGCTTCTTAAGAGGATTTACACTTAATTGCTTATAAACCAGTTTGAATTGGTTTTCCTGGTATTTGCAACATAATGACCTCTGATACAAGAACAGCCTGAGGAACAGACTCGCAGGTGAAGTTGATCTGCTTTGAAAGTGGCTCTACTGTCCCCCAGCATTTCACTTCACCTTGTTATACCACTTGAAATGTCATTTTGGTTAAAGCACTTGCTTAAAAATGTATATACTTCTGAGAGGATTAAAGAGCCAGCAGACACTTGACTTTTGGCATGAATTTTCCCAAGCAAATAGTATTTCTCTTTAAGCCAAAAAGGTCAACTACACTGTGCATATGGGAGTTATGTGTGTGAGAGGAGGAGGCAAGAGTCAGAGAAAGATAGTATCATTTTAGAGAATGGGCCAAGTCTAGGTGAGGTGCTACACAGCAGGGTACAGAGCAGCAAGAAGGCAGCAAGGGTTGATCAAAGCCACTGACTGATCCAAGAGCGGTAAAAAAAGGGAAGAATGCAAAGACATAAATTTGTTTTGAAGTTTGGCCCAGGGTTGTAAGTGCTTGTTGCTGCCAGGCTCTTTGATTCTAAACCCACAAACCTGGCAACATTACAGGTTAAACAGGTTTTTATAGGCTAGCCTAGAAACTCAACCACCAACTTATAAATAATAATCCTCTTTCTTAAAAACATCAACAGTTCCTACTACTATAGAAGAAAGACCCAACAAGACCTGGACTCTTCCACCACACTCTCCACTCCTGAGCCTTACTCAGGTCACACTTGAGAGTTCACAGTTCCCCCTAAGCTCCCCAGAAGACTCACTCAAATAACATTCCTTTTACAAAACATTCCAAAATCCAGCTGGAATAAATCATTCCTTTTTATAAAGTAGGTTTCATCTTTATTATGACCTGTTATTTGTTTGGCTATGTAAAATGTCATGATTATAAATTTTAACAACTTTCTTGAAATCAGAACAGTAGCTTAATATAGTCCCCGTGATTTTTCATATATTTTATACATGTGTGTTGAATATCAAGTAAATTTTAAGTAAAAGATTAAATTCTACGAAATAGAACTTAAAAAAAAAAAAGACCTTCAAACTTCTGGAATATAACTTGCCAATAAATCATAAAATTTTATGAACAGTTAAAGAGATTTAGGTGAGCATATATAGGATGAAGTTCTCAGGAAATCAGTATTTTAAGTTTTATAGTGTGCTTACAATCTAAAGTAAGTGAAAGTGATGATAGGGTTTAGCTTTTAAGTTAAATTAGAATTCGCATTGCTGTTTCATGTAGTGATATGTTTATTAAAATTCATATACTACTCAAATGTGGGGTCCCTATTTCCTTTAAACATGTAATACAATTACATTTTCTTTAATATTAATTTTGCTTCCTCCTTGGAAGGAAACCTGCTT